TACCCGCACAGGTCAGCCACCCGCTGCAGTTCAAGGAGCTGGGCGCCCTCTTCCGCGACAACCTGGCACCAGGGGCCTCCATGACCACGATCTGCAAGCAGCTCTACGCCTGCTACAAGGGCATCAACGGCCTGCAGCAGACGCAGGCGCTGGACTATGCGTCCCAAAAGGCGGCCCACCAGGGCGGCCTCGTGCCGACGGGGCCGGGCGCGGCGCGGGGCGGCGCGGGCGGCGGCGTGGCGGGGGCCTCGGCCAACGCGGAGAGCGTGATGGTGGGTGCGGCGGGGCGGGGCGCCTGAGCGGGCAGAACCACGCGCGCGTGGGGCGCCGCTGCTACTGCCGATAAGGTCTTGAGGTTGCATGCGCGCCCCACACGCTGCGCGAGAGCTGCAGCACTCCTCCCCTCCCCTGCCCCTGCGCGCCCCTCTCCGCGGCCAGACCTGTCTGATTGTCCCCCCTGACGCCCGTCCCCACGCGCCCCCCTTCACGAACCCTCGCCCCCCGTCATCCCAGCCGCGCTGTCTGTCAGCGTTGGGCTACACGAACAAGGAGATCATCGCGGCGAAGCGCATAGCATCGGTGCGCGCATCGAACCGCAGCGTGCCCCCTGGTATCCCTGCTTCTTGCATTTTGGAGCCTGTTTTGGGGGGCTGTTGTCGTGCAAGGCACCCCTGTTTCGTTGGAAGCGCTGTGTCTGGGGGCTGGCAAACGGGCATCCTTCAACTCTCGCGTTGCGCCGCCGGGGACCCGCGCTGGCCGTTGCCATGGTCACGACCATGGCCCCGCCTGACGGCCGCCTTGATCGCCCTCTTTCGCAACGCACGCGTACCGTACGCGCGCTCGCAAACGCGGCGGGCGGCGACTGCGCAGGCTGTGATCCGTCTGGGGCAGGAGCAGCAGATGCCGTGGAGTGGCAAGAACCCCATGACAGTGGCGGGCAGCATCATCTGGGGCGTCGTGCAGCTGGAGCAGGTGGGGACGCTGTGGTGTGTGTGTGTGTGTATAAGTGTGTGTGTGTGTATAAGTGTGTGTGTGTGTGTGTATAAGTGTGTGTGTGTATAAGTGTGTGTGTGTATGTGTATAAGTGTGTGTGTGTGTGTGTGTATAAGTGTGTGCGTGTATAAGTGTGTGTGGGTGTGTGGGTGCGTGCATGTGTGTGTGTATGTGTGTGTGTGTGTGCGTGTGTGTGGGTGTGTGGGTGTGCGGGTGTGAGTGTGTGTGCCCGTGCGTTCCCACGCACGCAAGTGCATGTGCTGCTGTCTTGGCGCGCCGTGCCCGCCCCGCCTGGTCTGGCAGCAGCGCCCATCAACGCCTGTGGGTCAGCAGTCAGATCGCGGGCCAGCACCGTTGGGGGCGGCTCGGGCCCCTCGCACGAGCCGCCGAGATAACGCGTAGCGCCCCGCCCCCCGCAGCTCAAGGCGGGCGGCGGCGGTGGCAGCCTGGACGAGCGCGCGGTCAACGAGGCGTCTGGCGCGACGGGCATGGCGCCCATCACCATCAAGGAGGGCTTTCGCGACATGCTGCCTGTGTGGTACCAGGTGCGGCGCGCCCGGGCACCTGAGCGGTTGGGACGCGCCGGGGGCCCAAGGGGTGGGCTCAGGGGGTGCCCGAGGGCCGGCGCTTCAAACAACTGCTGTCTCGGGGCATGCCGATTAATGCAGCCCAGCTGTTGTTTTAGGCGTCCGACGCATCTTGATGAGCACCCCACACACGTGCCAGGAGCGGCCACCACAGCCGCCTCCCTTGCCAGCAACGCGGCCTCGCTGCCGTCTCCACTGCCCTCTGATCATCCCCCCGTCCCCCGCAGAACGCGACCATTGTGCCGGAGACGTTTGCTACAAAACAGCAGCTGGAGCAGCTCGGGGTGAAGCTGGGGGTGGACGTGCACGCGGCCTTGGACGCGGGGACCAAGGCCAGCCGCAGGCGCAAGGCCAAAAAGGCCGCGGCGTAAGCGAGCCGCGCTCGGCCCCGGCGCCTCCAGCTTCCTCGTCGTTCCGCTGTCTGTACTGCCGCCGGGCGGTCTGCGCGTCGCGGGCGGCCGTGTCCGTTCCGCTTCCGTGTGTGTTGTCCTTGGCTCCCTGATGAGAGCATTACCTGAAATTTGGTGCCATTTCCCCTCTTTTCAAAAGCTGCAGCTGTAAAGATTGGCCACTGCGGCCCCTTGCCTCCCGTCCCCCACGCTGAGACGCGTGGTGCACTACCCTTGCTTGCCGGCGATTTGATTAATGGATTGTCTCTGCTTTTGCGGGAAGGACATCCGTGCTCTCACAATGCCGTCGGCGGCTTGCCAATTGTAACACTGGTTGATTTGCCTTGTTGTGCGGCCAGGGGCGTGCCAATGGTGGCACTTCTTCCAGTTCAAAGCTGCCAAACACTGCGGCAGTCTCAGCGCAACGCTGGTGCTCGTGTGCGATCGTTGGACCAGAGTAGTAATAAAAGGGGGATTCCAGCCCAAGACCTCAGGCCCATGGGCAGCCCCCATCCAACCCCTTAGCAGCTGGTGGGGTTCAGAGGGGAGATCCCGTGCAACCGATTGCATCGCCTGTGCAACTGATTGCAACACTGTGTGACCGCAACCACAAGCTGCGCAGCAGGCGCCACCCCCTTCCCCAGCTAACGCCTCTGCGCCGTGCGCGCTGCACCGCAGCACCTGCAATGGCGCCCCGCAGCACGGCGCGCTGTATAATGCCATATGTGTTATGCTCAACACCTCTGAGCGCCTCTTGAGCCCGCACTAGCACCCCACGGAGCGCGAGGGATGGAGGCCCCGCCCCAGGAGCCCGTGTGTGCGGAGAGCCCCCCGCCTCGCTTTCAATCGCCTGTCAACCATGAACGCCTTGGGTGGCTCTCCTTGGCGTGCAAAAGGCTCCGCACACGCGGTCTGTCAGCAGCGGCGCGAATCGACGCGTCCGCCGTGGATCTGCAACAGGCCCCCACGCACCAGCCAGGCGGTCACCCGGCGGGTGAACGACGCGCCCCACCACGCGTGCCCACTGCCCAGCCCCCGCCCGCCGTGCACAGACACTGCATGTTCATGTTGGCAGTTGCATACTTTCTTGAATGCCAGCACTGCGGATCTCCCATGGGATTGCCGCGTACAGGCAGGCCTCACTCGCCGCAGCGGCTGGATCGCTGGGCGCAGCCAACGATCTCGGCTTGAGGTTGTGAGGTGAGCGGGATTCACCGTGAACGAGCATCTGCGTCGTTGAAACTTGTCAAACGCCACCCCGGCACCCTGCCTGGTGGTGCTGCGCATCCAGAACAGACAAAGCTTGGCCCAGGAGTTTGTTTGACCCACCTGTCGCTCTCTGTTCATGTCAGAAGCATAGCATCAACTCTCCATCCATGGCATATTATACATAAATATTATTTATGAATGTATAAGCCATCGCACCGGCTGCTTTTCTGCTTTGCCTTCGCACTGTTTAGTTGTCGTGCTGTGAACCGTTGTGTATGGTGACAGCAAGGCATTCTGAGGCAGGTAGACGGCGCAGCTTCACAACCCTATTTCGCTGCATTTTGTTGTTTTTGGGGGGGGGGAGGAGGTGGCAGGCCTCTGCTCAGCCATACCCCAATCTGTTGCACATTTTTCATTCGCATTACAACCACATAATCCATGCTGACTGAATGTGGGGGGGCAAGATGATAATAACACACATCTCCGTGTGTGCACAAACAGATCACTGCCGTGTATGCTGTGTCACACTCTGATCACAGTCTGCAACAAAGCAGGAACAGCCCCTCAGGTCTACCCCCCCCGCCTCAAAAATCTCCTGATCCACGTGGGGATCTTGATGAGCGGCACATTCGGGATTTGCGGCGCAGCACACTCAAGTGGTTTGCACCTCACACTGTAGCCATTGGGGCAAGAATATTCGTTGCATTCGCCAGACTTGTCACAGCAAGTCCCCACGGCCAGCAGCATGCGCTTGGCACCGTATCCTCCGTATGGGGTGGGTAGAACAGTTGTAGGCGCTGCAGCGTGTACATCCGGAAGAGTGCCGTGGGCGGTACTTGGCACGAGCCAGACGCCCAGCATGATAGTCGCCACAGCCAGAAATGTGTAACACTTCGTATTGATGTTCATACTGAAAGTCCTGCTCACAGCGCGTGAGGACAAGGAGTTGGTTTGCTCGTTGGTTTGCACGCATACTGTACGCATGCATGTGCGCACACCTGCACCCTTTGCGCTGCATGCGACATTTATGCACACCACCAGCGGCACAACCAAGAAACTTGGTGGTGTCAGCAACCCAGCAGCAATGCTTGTGCAGAAAAGCCGCAGCAATCTTTTCCCTGCTATGCGTGCAAGCGGCTGCGTGCAAGCGGCTGCGTGCAAGCGGCTGCTGGCAGTGCACCTGGGCCTACCTCACGTCAGCAGAGGCGCTTTACTTTTGCTTGCTTGGCAGGAGGCTGTCAGGGTGTAAAAGGAGGGACAAGGACGCCAGGCCCTTTGAGTTGCACAGTGTTTGTTCGGATGACAAGGGTAACTCAGACATGGCGCATTCTATGCCGGCTAGCTAGCAGGGCCTCAACATGCAGCAGGGCCAAACCACACAGCAGAATGCGGTGTCTCAGGCCAGCATTCGCCAGAATTGTGGCGGCTGCCAAAGTTGCCTCCTTGTAATGACTGTGGGATCTGCAACAAGCCCAAGGGGCGGCCACAATGCCAGGCCAGAGCGGGCTGCAGCCACTGCATGGGTGACTGGCGCTGATGATCTTGCCATCAACTCGGCAGCTTGCGTACGTGCTAGGGCCCTGCTATTACTCTCACCTCGTGTCTAATGGCGTGTTGAACGGATGGACGTCTTGAATGCGGTAGGTCCTACGGCAGGAAAGGGTCTGGTGCTCAACGTGGCCGGACGATGGTGACTGCTTCGAAGCCGCGTACTAGTCTAACGCACATGAAGCAACTAAGACCTCTTCAGCTTGCACTCTCGACCCTTCGACTTCGCCGATCGGGTGCTCGACAGCAATCGGGCGGCCAGCCAATCTCAACCACAATCTCTAACAAAACGTGACTCGGCAGGGTGGACGGGAGCAACACGAGGGCTGCAAAGGGTTTAAAAAGTGCAAGTGCATACAATGAATAGAGAACTGCTGGTTTTGGCTCACACTGGTCTGGTCCAGCCCGACTCACTGCTGAGCTTCCCTTAGAAGCATGCAGACGGAGAAGCCTAGTTGCTTGACCATCACACTACCCCAGCTATGATGAAGCTGCAAGGGGGCACTCTTTGAGGAGCATGTATTGCATGTTTATGCCCTCATATAACACACAAGTAAGGCGTAAGACACAGGATACTGCCCGGTACAGAGGCGGAACAGTGTCTGCTTTGCGGTGCAGCAAAGCAGGTCGACACTGTGTCTCAGGTCAGCTGGGGCAGAAAACCAACAAGAACAGCACGCCAAAGCCGCAGGGTGGGGTGTGCGCACGGTGCAGGGCTTCCGTAGCCTGGCCTGCGCGCCTGCTGCATGTCATGCACAGAGGGGGCCCTTGACTCAAGGGCCCCCAACGTTTCAAGTTGAACCGTTGCCGCCCACGGCGGCCACTTGGCAGCGGAGGCTGCCAGGGGACAAGTGCCTCTTCGCCCATGCTTGCCCTGTTACAACGTTGGTGCTTCACTGTACAATCCCATGAGCCTGGATGGCTCCAGGAGCGGGCGGGACGCTGTAACAATACTAATCCTAATCCTGCTGTGGCCCAGCCGCGCGCCTGACCTGGAGGCGCAGCAGCGCAGTGGATTAGGATTAGAATTGTTACAGTGTGCAGCCAGCCCCGGCGATGCTGCGCAGCAACCAGCTGGGGCAACCCCTGACCCCGGCAGCGGCTGTGGTGCGCATCGTGTTTACGCTGCTGCAGGCCCTGCTGACCCCTGACCCTCACCGCGCTTTGAACTCGCTCCTTGCAGGATGGAGTTCTTGGGCATCAAGCAGCAGCGAGCCTGGCGAGTTGACTGATGCTGACATCCAGCGTGTGATCCGCTTCGCACCCAGCATCCTTGCCCACGCACTCCACAAGCAGCGCCTGTGAGGGGAAGCCGAGGGCTGGCCATCCCAGAGCCAGCTCCGTCCCCCAGCCAACGACGACGCCGCGTGAAGCCCGCCAGTAGTGCTGCCCGCACTACATCCCTGACCCCTCCCCGCCGCCGCGAGACGAGCGCTGATGACTGATTGGCCTGCGGCGCTGCCCGCTGCCCAAAGGCGTCGAGCGAGAGAGAGAGAGAGAGAGAGACTACGCAGGCTGTGACGCCCGCGTAAATTAAGGAAGAGGGGGCTGGCTTGCGGGGGCCGAGGCCGCCGCGCCGCCCTCTCACCAAAATGACGGGGAGGGGGCCAGTCCCCCTATGTCACTCCTGATGGTGTGCGTCTGCGCTGCTTCCCAAGTCCTCCTGGGCGGCGTCGAGCGATGTCACGCCACACGGCAGCCAGGCGGCGCCTCGCAGTCGCCTACTGGAGAAGTCCCAGCAGCAATGTGCCAACAGACGCATGAATTGCTGCAGGTTGAGGACTTGTTCGTTGGGGCGGTACAAGCGCTGCAAGCCTCCAAAGGACGGCAGACCATCGCCGCCGCAGTGAAGCGCCACCTTCGTTTGGCGCCGCACAATGCTGTTGCGCGTTGCAGGGCGAAGCGGGTCACCAACTAGGTGCCTGCATATTATGTTCATGAGTGAAAGGGACAGGGCAACCGCATGATTGGACACCAAGACCATATGCAGCCAGCTTTAGGTGTCCAAGCACGGCGCTCCTGAAAGTGCCCGCCCACGTGAGCATCACTGGCGCCAGTGTGAGCATCACTGGCGCCAGTCTTTCGTTGCCGGCAACGAAAGAGCCGACGCCATCGCGACAGGAGTGGCAAAAGAGACCAGAACAGAGAACTTGGCATCGGCACTGCTGGGAGAGCCAGGACTCACTCGCTGTCCCTCCTAGCAATGACCGCCGCGGCCAGTGGTGGTGGTATAGATCTGAATCGGCAGACGAGACAGCTCAGCCACAAGGGGCAGGTGGCAAACGCCGCCGTCCCAAGCGGCGCATCTTGGCCAATCTGGCTGAAGCGCTGAAGCGCTTGGCCTGCAACATGCACGAGACGCTGTGGGCCAACCTCAATACACTGTACATGCGGCTAGAACGCGAGACTGCACCCAGCCTGCACCCGGCCGCTTGGCACTATTTTCAGAAGTGGGGAACCGTGCCACCGCGCGAACTGAGACTGTGCCTGCGGTGGAGGTGTGGACAGGTCCCCACCATGCATAACCTGCACAAGTAAGTGGGGAAAGAGCAAAATCACGGCCTGCCGCCTGTGCGGAGACCCGGATGAGACTGCTGGGCACACCATGCTGACATGTTCGGCGCTGAGCGCGGAGCACACCTCTTGGCACCACCGTCCAGGGAGGGTAATCCTTGCAGCGATAGAGGCAGGCGCGAATGGGCGGCTGCATTAAGTGCGTGTGCAGACCTGGGGTCAGCACAAAACTGCAAAGAGGATGGGGTGGTGCACCGCCGCACCTTTGAAAAGTGCTCCATCCTGACACCCGCACAGAGATTGCGCCTGGAAAATGCGGGCACATACAGCGTCCCGGACATCATCCTGCAAGTACCGGCGGCCGGCACAGGCCTGGCAGAAAACATCCATATGGGGCGCGCGGCAACGGAATCGCATGGTCAAAGCCGATGAGGGCATTGTCAGATGGGTGTTTGTGGGCGACCTCTCCTTTGCCCGCTCTCTCAGCCCAGCGCGGGCACGTCGGACCTGGAGCGGCGCGTGGCTGCATGCACTTGACTGGTTGGCAGCCGAGGGGGGCGCCCCTTGCGCCTTTTTGACGGCTTATTCCGCGGGGGTGCACAACACCCTGAACCAGGGCTCGGCGGCGGTGGCGGGCCTGCGCCAGCAGCTTGGGGGGGGGGGCTGCAGGCTCTGCTGCGGTCCCCTGCGCCACAAGCAACATACAGCAGCGCCGCCAAGCGCGCCAACACGCATCGGCCGCTGCTCTCCCGTCATCGCCTCCACAACCGCACTGAAGCTGACCGCATTGGACGACCACAGCGCGGCCGCGTCGCCCAACGCTGAATGCGCCGCACCAACGGCAACCGCACGTGCTCTGGCAATAGGTTCATTCACAATCCGTCGCCGACACGCGATCTAGGCTTGCTCGCGGCATCGCATGCAGCGCCGTGTAGATGCCAGACCGCTCCTCCAATGCGCGTGCCGCAGCTGCAGCAGGCCGGGGACCTGCTGGGCGGTGTATGCCAAGTGGAACACTGCCATCGGCAGCGCCGGCACAACGCCAAGCGCCAGGCCCAGCCGCGGTTGCTGGCGCCCGGCTGAATGCTGCCGCGAAGCTGCCTCCACACTGATTGGGGGCATGATCGCAAACAAAGCGGCCAGACGACGAAACAAGGAATTCCTTGTTCATTCATGCGACCTGTCCGACGGCCGTTGAACAGCTTCCCGAGGTTGGCTCCACAATCTTGAGGGCCCAATAGTTACAAATCCCGTGATTCATCATCTAGAGGTGCCCATCGGCTAGAGGTGCCCATCGGCTTTCATATGCCATTCAAACAGAGAATGTCAGTGCCGAGATCGACCTTGGGAAGCTCGCACAAGCTGCCATTCACGGAGTTTTGGTCCCCCGCAGGAATCCTTTGCTCAATGCAGCATCCAAAAGCGCTCGTTTCCGCCTTGGTGGTGGCACTGGTGCTCCTGGCGGCGGGGCCCGCCGCGGCGCTGACCACCCCTGAACAATGTGGGCGGCGGAGGGGCAGCGGCTCCGCGCTTGCCAGTTCGCACGTGCCTCAGCTTCCAGCAGGCCCAAAGAATAGTTGCCAGTGATGTAGGACACGCAGTTTTGTCGGCTGCCAGTGCCCATCTGACGCTGCCTGGGGCGGCTGCCATCCGCCTCACGTGGTTCCGGCGGAGCGTTCGCCTCCCGATCCCGGCGCGCGTCAGCTGCCCAATGAACTGCGTATCCCCTGCAGCATGGACGCACCCGCGCCAGCCTGTACCTGCACCATGCACCCGGTGCACCGCAGATGACATCATCATGACATTCCGCGACGTGCTGTCGCGCCGCTCCCCAAATTGGCGCGACGCGCTCGCTACCTGGAAGTGCCCCACGCCCGCAGACAACAGCGATGGCGCTTGCGACCCCTGCGGCCGCAAAGCCGACGGCAACTTCTTCCACATGCACTGCCGCGGCAACAGCGTGGGTGAGCCGCGCCCCGCTCCGCCCGCACTGCGGGCGCGCGCATCGGGGCCGGCCGTCCCGTTGCTCCGGCTGCTGCTGACTGTTGTGTGGCGTTCGGCTAGCCGGGAGCAAGCTCTGAGAGTCCCCTGTGTGTGCCACCGACCAAGCAGTTGCTTTGCCATGCAGCAAGCTGCAGCAGACCTTGTCTTGGGCCCCCGGCCGCCCGCCCGCTGCCGCGCCGGCGCCCGCAGGCTGGGGCGAGAGCGGGGACGGCACCGTGAATGGCAACGTGACCAACATGCACATCACGGACGTGAACATTGACGGCCCTGTGCCGCGGGAGCTGTGCATGTTCCACAACCTGCGGGAGTTTGACCTGGATGGGGGCCACCTCACGGGCCCTATACCCATCTGGTGGGTATGAGACCATCTCCATCCGACGACAGCGCCAAAATGTGACCATTGAGATGCCAGCTCGGCCGGCAAACGGCGCCGTGCGTGGCGCTCGCGTCCACGGTGTTTTGCTGCGCCCGGTTCGACTCTCGCTCTTGGTCGCTGTCAGCAGCCAGGTGCGAGCTGTGCGAACCACCTCCACCCAGGACCACCCGCCTCGCATGCTGCCCCTGCATCCTGCGAACCCCGGCGCGCAGGGTCAAGGACTGCTTCCCCAAGCTGGAGGAGTTTGACCTGTCATACAACAGGGTGAGACGCTCAGAGCAGTCCCACCCTCCGCCGCCAGAGGCGTTCCGCCGACCGCAAATGCCGCCCCCTGCCAGCCCCTGTGCCATCGCCTGCACGAGCCCCTGCACTGGCTCACGCCGAGCCAGCACTTGCTTACGCTGGGCTCGCCGATGATCGGCTCCTTGGCAGCCGCCTTCGCTCGTTCCCCACGCATCTATCTTACACGTGGAGGTCACGCAGGATCGATCCCTGCTAGCGACTGCAGTGTTCTTCCCTTGCGCACCCCTGCAGATCACGGGCACGATCCCTCTGGAGATGACGACGCTGCCCCTGCTGAGCGAGTTCAAGGTGGAATACAACAGGCGAGCCGCGCCCCCTCCTGAACGCCCGCCCTCCCCGTCACACCCCTCCCCATTG